AGTGTACCTTTTTCCACTCAAAATAAACTATATAAATGAAAAGTTCCCATAAATGTTAAATGTTCCTTGTGAAACCAATAATGCCAATAAAAGAAACTTTTTTTGAGAGAGAGAAAAAGAGAGAGAGAGAGAGAGAGAGAGAGAGACTAACAATGTTTTAAAAACTCAAAGAAATCACAGAGAGTTTCACACTGCATCAGCTCTTTATCAGACGTCATAAAGACTATTATTTATTTTTATGAAACTCTAAAAGATATAACATTTTAAAAAATATATATTTTTTAGTATTGAAGAGAACATGATTTCATTTTGGTTTCTATTTTCTTTCACAGTGACCACTTCTTAAAAGAAAACAAACAAACAAACAAACAAAAAAAAAAAACAATCAAACCAAATTAACTAGACATGGGCTGGGACAACATTCTGACGGTATGACCATCTTGGATAAAAATATCACAGTTTGACGGTAATTACTGCTCTAAAATACATATTTTTTTTAAATGTCTGGGTAAAAAACACATTTTTTTTCCTTTTAAACACAATGTATTTTATTTTAATGAACTTTTTTTTTTTGGAGCAGTAGACATGTCAGGTGGAATAATTCAAATAAATCGTTGACTTCTGCTGTCTTCATTTGTTTCAAAAACAGATTTCTTAACAATATAAAATGGCATCTTTGGATATCTTTTCTGCTGGAGATACTGTTGTCCTAAAAAAAATGCAAATAAAATGTAGGAACGGTATAGCAGAACCTTTTTTTTCGGTTTTAACACCTTAACTTTCCAAACCGCAGTATACCTTGAAAACGGCTATTGTCCCATGCCTAATATGAACCATATAAAACACTTTAATGCACTGATCACTTCATGATGTATATGTTACTTTGGATTATTAGCAAAACACAGAAAGTTAATGTTCTTTTAAGAACTATTCACTGCGAGTTTCTTTGGCAAAACCAAAAAGTTTTTTTTATTGATTTTACTATAACAAAAGTTTTTTTATTGGCATCAACATTTCTACAAATAACTTTTAAAATCTCTTCACAGAAAGAAAACCAAAATGGTTCTTCGGTGGCAAAACACCCTTTTGAAACCTATTTCATAAAAAAAAACATTAAGGAATGGAAAGTTTCCTGAAGGTTTCTCAAATGCCAACTAAAACTCTTTATTTTTATATTGTGCTTTAAAAAAATCCCTTTGGAAATGTAATAGTGCAAACTTTTGAGAGGATGTTAATACTTAATGAAACAATAGTGAATTCCACTAAGCCTCTTGAACTCTGCAAAAGAAACCTAGTAATAAAATGTTCCTTAGAGTACCCTTATTCAGTTATTCGCCTGGAACGAAAGACAATTCTAATAAGAATAAGATGTCAGTCAAAGTTTACACGACTTTAATGGAAGATTTGAGTGTATTTAGGTTTTAATGCGTTACTGTAACACGCAGAAAACATCGTTCAGTTCAGTTTATCTGATGTTTTCAATAAGCCGATGTTGGATCAGGATCTGAGATGCACTGCTGAACTTTTCCACTCCCTGCTACTAATCTCACACAGAGAGAAAGAGACTTTGACGATTATCATAAGGAAAAGGTGTGTCATTGTGAAGTGTGTGTGTGTGTGTGTGCATTTCAGGTATACTGTTTTAGAAGAGCATTTCACGAGAATTCCTCCCTCTCCAAACAGAATGAGCGAATTAGAGAAGAAAGAATGGAAGGGAAAAAAAGAGAGGAACAGAGTTGAAAAGAAAAACTGGCAGGGCTAATCGAGGTTAATAAGCTGTTGTTATTTTGGCCGGGGGCAAAAAAGAGATAAACCACTTTAAAGAAGGGGAGGAAAGGCGTGTGTGTGAAGATTAAAAAAAACAACCTGGAGAACTTGACAGGGGAATATAGAAGACCGAAACGAGAAAAATGTGTGATCGTGACAAAGAAAAAAGAAAGACGGAGGACAAAATGGACATTGGGATGACGGGGGAAGGGGTTGGAGAAGAGGAGACGGACAGAGATAAAAAGGAAAAGCAGAAGGGAGGAGGCGCACATATTTCACACCTGTTGAAAACACAATGCCTCCAACAAGTAATTACACATCTCTGCCGTGTTCCTCTGAATGCTTGACACAAAAAAAGAAAAAGAAGAGAGACACTGGATGAGATGTGTCTGTGCCGAAGGACTCCCCGAGGCTCATACACACTCATAATAGGAGCACTAGCTGACCCTTGCAGAACTTTGAAGGTTGCTTCTCATTTGCTGCCATTTTCTCAGTGTGATTTTTGAGGACATGGGCGTAAAAGGGGCTCTGGGTGGGCACATTTACTGTACGCAGGCTCGCGCGCAATACCGAATGCAGAAAGTTCACTAGTCTGTGTACAGGCATGTATATACACATAATCCAAAACAGAAAGCTGCAAACACACATACACACACACAAACTCCAAAACAAAAGCGTGTCCCAGACTAGAGGACCACACACACTCCTGAGCTGGAAAAAAATGCATGACAAGATACTGTTATTTGGCAAATGATAACGCCAAAGATGTGATGATCTACACTTATGTCGAAAAGAAAAAAAAGGTCCTAAGGTTTTTTGAAATGGGTTATTTATGAGAAGATTTTACTGGAGATTGTTAAAAATGGCTCGTTTATTCAAATAAAGTTTGGACCTCTGAATTTATGGTTAGGGTTGTGATTAGGTGGCAATTTTTTTCTTTAGTTTTTCATTTTGGTGTCTGCATCAAATAAAAAAGGTCAGAAAATAGGTGAAATAATGTTCCATCAGTCCTACACTGTAAAACCCAACATTCAACTTTATCAAATGAAATGAGTGTAGTCAACTCAAAATTTACTGAAAGTTAATTCTACTCATTTGAAAAGAGTTTTGAACTCTAACTAACTTACTTAATTTTACTTAAGTTAATTAAATACCTCAGTACTTCACAGTACTCATTTTGATTAGCATTTAAACTTAAATGGTTTGTAGCAATTGGTTTCCTCAAATGGTTTATTACCTTAACTTTTAGGGTTTTACAGTGCATATAATGTATTTATGTAAATACAAAACAGCATGCTTAAAATATAAAAGCGTAAGTCTAATATAAGACTAATATATATATATATATATATATATATATATATATATATATATATATATATATATATATATATATATATATATATATATATATATATATATATATATATTAATTATAATAAATATAATAATAATTAATATAATAAGTGTTTTTATTATATTTTAATTGACTAAAAACTTCTGGTTGATAAATTGGTTTGAATGATAGTGGTAGGGTTTAAATATGTTTATAATGACAATTTTGTTCTTCTAAGTAGGACCCACAAGTATTGTTGGTATATAAATTGCTTGATGGTCACTTTTTTTGTTCAGGAAAACATAAAATTAAATTAAGTTAAATTAAACTTTTTTTTGGTTTGAAGCTGAAAATTTGAAGAAACGGATTGCAACAAAGATTTAAGTTAAAAAACTAATCCTAATGAGTACTGTCAACTTAATCTATTTGGGTAAACGAAGCAATTTGAGCACAGTAAAACCCAATAAATGAAGAGAACTCAAACCAACTGAGTACTGTAAAACTCAATAAGTTAAAGCAACTCAAACCTTTTGAGGAAACCGATTGCAACAAACCATTTGATTTAAAAAGCTAATCTATATCAGTACTGTGAACTTGCTCCATTTAAGATGAAGTAATGAGGGATTTAATTAACTAATTTCCTTCAACACTTAGATCAAAACTCTTTTCAAATGAGTAGAATTAAACTACAGTAAATTTTGAGTTAACTACACTCATTTTATAAAGTTGACTGTTGGGTTTTACATTGAACACAGAAAATATAGTTAAGGCTAAAAGTTTGAATCAAGACATTGTTTTTTTTTTGAAAAATAAAGTAAATTTAAATGAATGAATAGCTTACAAGATCATTGACGTTTCATTTGATGTAAACTGGAATTTGTTACAATATTGGATTGTTATTTTTGCAGAAACGGTATATGAAAAACATATTAGTATAAAATACCATATGTAAAAGTATGACCCTTTTCAATTAGAGCATAAATCCCCTAAATAATCCGATAATCCTGTGGACATCCCCCCCCCTCTCTCTCTTTCTTTCTCTCTCTCTTCTCTCTACAAACAAACTCTACCACAGTGCAGTAGCACCGCCAGATACATCTGTGTGAAATTGTAATCTCTGTAATCAAACTGTAACTTACAACCAACTGTTTAATTTATCAATACCTCAAAGGAATTACAGCTAAAACCACCATACTACAGAATCTTACAAAAACTTGACACAGCATAATCTCGGTGAACTCCTAAACCAAACATTTATTTAGAGACGATTACACACAGATTCTCTCTGCTTGCTTTTATTTCCTAAACAATATCACAGTCTTCATTTGTGTTATTTGAGAAATAGCAATATTGTAATCTATTTTTCACTCAATGTAAATGAATAATTTACAGGGGAAAAAATCATATATGTCATAATTTTGAGTTTCTTTCTTCTGTTCAACACAAGAAAATGTTACAATCTGGGTTTTATTGGCTTACATACTATTTTGTTCTCACTATGGATGTCAGTAGTGTCTGGTTTCCAACATTAGATACCTCACTTAGTTTTCAACAGAAAAAAGAAAGTTATAAAGTTTTGGAATTGCTTGAGGGTCAGTAAATGTTCATTTGGTAGCCCTTTATATTGATGGTCCATTTGAGTAATAGTAGACTGTCTGCTTAATATCTGTTGATGCTGCTCCGTCAACAGACATTTAACTTAATATAAGAAACTTTGCAAGTACATGTCAACTTGCACCAACCCTAATCCCAAACAGTTTTATAATCTATGGAGAATTAGTTTGCATGTAGATGCAATGTAACTTAAATTCAACAAACGGGCCATCAAAATAAAGTGTGACCGTTCATTTTTGGCTGAACTACCTCTTTAATTCCCTGTTTGTTTGATTTTTTTTAGTTGGTCAGGTTGCTGTGCTGCTTTTATTGGCTGTCACGGTGGGCAATGCTCAGGAGCTGGACCGAACACTCATTCTGTCCAATGAGAGGAGCTCTATCGAGAGAACATACGAGCTAACCAAATACCTGGACCACCAGCTGAAGGAGATCAGAGACACTTACGTGAGTCACAGTCTGTTTGTGTGCTTGGGTGTGTGTGTGTGTTATCAGCGTGTGAGGATGACGTTTTTGTTTATAGATGTTTTCCTGTGGATGCTCTTCTTCCCCCTCAATCTCTTTTCCTTCTCTTTCTGACTGTATTGTATGACATCCTTTAGTTTACATTATTAGTTTCTAGAATTGCCAAACGTTTAATGGTGAGTTAAACAAAACATGTAAAATTAATTGCAGTTTTACCGGTGTACTGTTTTTATGTGTTTACTTAATAATGAAACAGATTTCAAAACAGTGATCTGACGTCAATGTTTCAGTGAATAGATCCTTTAAAAATAGCATTTTTAAGGAATATTTGAATAACTTGATGAACTTTTATCATTTTCTTTTTTTAATATATCAAAATGTCAAAACTGGACCTAATATCAATAATAATGATAATAAAATAAATTAAATAAAAACACCAGTGGACTGAACCAAATTCCCTAAGTTATGCTATATCCTCACAATATGAAAAAACTATGATGACAGGATATTTATTTTTAAGTGAACTATAGCGGACAGGCCAACAAACCAATGCAAACAACCACAAAGCCAATAGAAACATGCCAAATCCCTTGATTTGATACTTTCCAGCGCACAGCAGATAATATTTAATATTTAAGGGGACATGCTTAGTCTAGACAGCATTTTACTGGCCACAGTCATCTACATTGGTGTTTATTTAGTAATCTTTTAGGAGTACGCACTCTTAAAAATGGGTTGCAAAATAAGGAGAATCTATGGCAATGTAATAGAATACCATGTTGGGTTTCTCACATAATTTCCCCCTTAGTGTGAAGAATATGTCAACACAAAGAACCCATTTCTACTGTAAAAACAGCTTTAGCGGAATGGAAAAATTTAATGCAGGGGTCATAAATCTCAATCCTTGAGGGCCGGTGTGCCTGCAGAGTTTAGCTCCAACTTCAACACACCTGCCTTAAAGTACCTAGTAAGATATTGATTAGCTTGTTCAGTTGTATTTGATTAGGGTTTGAGCTAAACTCTGCAGAACACTGGCCCTCCCGGAACAAGTTTGGTGTGCCCTGATTTAAGGTAAAATAAGGTAATGTGTATTTATATAGTGCATCAATCGTGTATTTTTATGTTGACAATGGTGCCAGTGTGCTCACCACACATCAGCTATTGGTGGAGTGGAAAGACAGTGATAGAGTCAATTCGGTGGATAGGGATGATTGGGAGGCCATAATCATAAGGGCCAATAGATGGAATCTGGCCAGGACACCAGAGTTACACCGCTACTCTTTTTGAGGAGTGCCATGGGATTTTTAAGGACCACAGAGAGTCAGGACCTCGGTTTAACGTCTCATCTGAAAGATGGTGCTCATTGTCCTATTCACTCTATTGGGGCGTTAGGACTCACAAAGACCGTAGGTTGAGCACCCCCTGCTGGCCGCACAAACACCACTTCCAACAGCAACCTAGTTTCTAGTGGTCTCCCATCTAGGTTCTGAGCAGGCTCAAACCTGCTAAGCTTTAGTGAGTAACTGGTCTTGGGCTGCAGGGTGATAAGGCTGTAATTTAATGGATCTTAAAGGTCTTGGAACCATCAAAGCCAATAAGGATGCACAGTGGATGGCAAAACTACATTGTTAAACATCTTCTTAAAGTACCATGGTCTTAAAAATCTAAAAAAAAAAAAAAAACTGACAGGATCAGTGTAATTATTCTCTAATATACCTGTTTTCATATTTTTTCCTCAGCTGTCATATCTCGGGCCTCCATTCAGTGATCCTGGCTTCTCTCCTCCCCGTCCTAACAGCTCGTCTCTGTCCGTGCCCAGTGCAGCAACACGTGTGGACTTATGGCGCGGGCTGGAAAATGGTGCTCGTCTGGCACAGAACCAGCATGCATACAGCATTCTTCTCTGTGCGGTGAGGGAGTTGGCGCGCTCCACCCTGTGCCCGTACCTTCAGAGCTCCCTCCTGCACTTCTGCTCCGGCCTCAGCGGGTTGCTTGGCTCAATATCTGGGCTCATGAACGCCCTGGGCTACACCAACCTGCCATCCTCTGCAGGATACGCCACCCCTGCTCAAGGATATGCCCCAGCCATGTCATCACAGTTTCAGGGTGTGAGCGAGAACAGCCCCGCCCCTCTACGGAGTTACGTGCCTCGAAATCAAGGTGCTAAGACTGTTTCAGGTGTGAGAGAGGGAACGACCCGAGCAGATCTCAAGCGGGACAGAGAAAAGGAGAGGGCAGAGAGGGGGAGAAGAGGGAGAAGAAAAGAAGGAGAGAGTTGGGTCGCCAAAGAAGAGGGAGAGAAGGAGGAAGGAATGGAGAGATGGGGCAAACGGAGAAGACTGCTGAGCATGGATGAAGAGAAAACAATAAAGCTGAACAACATGAACTACACATCTTTAAAATTTGGAGACGGATACCGAAAGCAGCCTTTACTCTTTTCCACACCATCCTTGCACCCTCGCAGATCTGTTCGCTCTATCCCATCGTCTCACTCTGGGCTCTCCCCGCTCTCACTCCTCTATCAGTATGGAGGACCGGTCTCTGAGGTCCACACTTTACTGGCGGCCCCTGTGCTGTCATCTCATCCCACCGCAAATGACTTCTCGCGGAAGGTGGAGGGATTCTGGGTACTGAGAGAGCTGCAGAGCTGGCTGTGGAGATCTGCAAAAGACTTCACCAGATTGAAGAAACGACTGCGTGTTTGAGATGACAGAGACTTGGGTCTAAAACCTAGTGAGCTGATTCTAGCAAGATGCGGTCACATTTGTGGCCAAAAACAAAGATGCATTGCCTACTGTCAGCAGTGTAGCAATGTACACTACTCACTCAAAAGGTTCATTTCAAACCAGGTCGCTTTGGTCAACACTACGGCAAACTATTGCAGATCTTGTTGTTTCTGCTGGTGCTTAGCACTTAAATAGAGCCAGGGTTAAAGCCAGTATTCTGTTCTTAAAACAAAAATTTTGATTCACTTACTCTCTCTCACATGCTAGGCCACCCATTCATGTACAATTAGTGCAACATTCTTATATTGCTCAACATAACTGCCATGGACAGTTGAAACTGGAGACGAACCATAAAGTTCTACTGTCGAAATTTTCTAAATTGTTCAGGGTCTAGGACCAGGGGTGTCCTAAGTTGGGGGGACGTAGGACCCAGACACTAGAAGAGACCATAGGGAATTCATTATCACTCACTCATTTTCTTTAACTTAGTCGCTTATTCAGGGGTCACCACACTGTCATAAATTTCTAATTATTCCAATCCTACCACAACCTACCCCTGAGAGAGCTCTAACTTATAACCCCCAGTGCTGGGAAACACCAATACACACTCTCTCATTCACACATGCACAACATTTTTTGTTTATCTAATTCCCCTGTACCATGTTCTCGGGGAAACCACACCATAGAGAGAACATGCAAACTCCACACAGAAAGGTGAATTGCTGTAACTTTGAACTTCTTGGTTTCTTGCTGTGAAGTGACTGTGTTATTCCTTGAGCTACTATGCCACCCCCACCATTGAAATCTTGGGTCACAATTTTTACCTGTGCATAGAGCCCAAATTATCTAGCAATGTCACTGTCAAGAACTGACAAGCCAGGACCTCACACTGAAACCATATTGGTACTCACTGGTTGAAGGGTAAAACTATGTGACCAATTTAAACCTGTATGGGGAAATCTTTCACTTTCATCCACAGAATGTGTAACCCCACCGGTCCTACACCCAACCCGCTCTGAGCTGGGGATCGAACCGCCAACCTTCCTTATGGGAGTTGGTTGCTTTACCAAGGAGGCTAAAATCATGGCCTATATGAGGTTAACCTGCACAGCACTTCACCAACTGGCCTCTGCTACACTCACCCCCTTTTAAACCTCAGTCCCATCCGGGTCATGGCAACAATGTAACCCTACAAATGTGGTCCTACACCACCCCACCCACTCTGAGCTGGTATCAAACCGGCGACTTTCCACATGGGAGTTGGTTGCTCTACCAAGGAGTCTAAAGACCATGGCCTCTAGAGTATGTCGCTAGAGCACTTTAGGAGGTAAAAGGAGTGAGGTTTACCTGCACAGCACTTCACTAGCTGGCATCTGTTACAAATGCAAAATATTGGATGGAATAATCAAGCAGCTACACTGAACTACTGATGTTTTGTGATATTGATTGAAATATATTCATATTTGAATCAAGATCTGTCATAATTCAGGGTTTGCATTGCATTTTATTTGCAAGAGATAGAAGATGTTCAACCTGGTTTGGGCCCAAACGTGTCCACATCAGGAACACGGCATCTGTGGAAGCAGCTCGCTAGGTTTTGGAGTAGAGCGGAAGAAACAGATTGATTCATGCTCTATGGATGGAGATCTAAGAACTTCAGATGGTCACGCTTTGCACTAAATCACCAAACAGAAAAGAGCCGCCTGTACGTCACAGACAGAGGAAAGAGAGCGCCCATTGAGAGAGCGAGACGTGATTCAGCAGAAGGAAAGTGAATCATGTTTGGAGTCATGCAGTAGTGAAAGGGTCAATGGGCAAAAGTGGAGGAAATGTGGCATAACCAAAGAAACAATGGATTTTTGCTGCCTCACAAACTGAGTCAGTAATGCCTCACTGACTCGTCTTTTTCCAGACGCAAATACACACCTACACATCTGGTAACAGATGCACTAATCTGATGCTCAGATGGCGTGTGTACCAACATAATATTAGTCATCTGATCAAATATTATTCAAAAACTATATGATATCTTGGTAATACTGTTTTCTAGAAATGTAAACTGGTAATACCTTGGTATTTTTGTAGAAAACATGGAATACTACGATACAGTATGTAAATAATTTTGTCATGTGAAGTAACATGAGAACATTGTATGTGATATGATAACCATTCACATACTATTGCAATTTTTTCCAAGCACTCTTAAAATTTCACTGGTGTTTCACATAAATATCACGGTATATTATAATATACTATGGTGTAAAAAGCATTAGATGATAAACCCATGTTTTTTTAGGTACCATAGTATTCTAGACAAAAGGAAAAAGGAGGGAGATTTCGAGCCATAATCAAAGTACTATGGAATTACTGTTTAAGAACAATGCCAACCAATCTGTATTGTGGTATATTTTCTCACATGGTACTTTTAGAAGGACTTAGAAAGGCTATACTTATATATTTCCATACCATTCTTTTACCTTAGTACTTCCACCGTTACAGATAAGGCATTTCACACATGAACATGAGCTATAATGCAGGTGAGAGAGTGTATAAATATGAGTGTTTGTGTACAGTCTGTACAGTGATTTCTGTATGTGTGTATATGTCTGTTGTATTTATTTAATACTATTTATTTTTTCTGGGCTACGACTGTATGATGTCACATGTTTTTTTGCAATGAGTACAAAAGACCTTTACTGGCTACACTATGGGTGTGTGTGTGTGTGTACTCTTACCCCTTGAGGAAAAACCAGAGGGACTGGGAGAATAGCAAGAGTTTTATTCGTCTGTCTGAACAAAATTTATGACCACTCCATTCTTTCATGTAATCCCACATCCTCTCATCCCTCTCTTCCCCTCTATCTCTCTCTCACGCCTCTCCTCTTCCCTAGCGCTCACCTAGTACTGACACACACACACACACATTTACACACGCACACACACACACACACACACACACACATACACACATATTTATTTAGCTGTTACACTTACAGTGCTTAGCATAAATGAGTACACCCCATTTTGAAAATTAGTATTATTAGTATTAAATATGAATTTAAAAGATAAATTTGTGTGGGGTGGACTTATATATGCTGAGCACTGTATGCATTTAATATTCAGTTAGTGTAAACTAACATATAAACAAATTTTCAACATTTTAATAGTTTAAAAAAATTATATTCACTTCATGATCAAAAGCAAAAGGGTAATTATGTTCATCTTATAAAATTATATAAAATTTCCAAAATATAATTAAATAGGTATAATATACAAGTTTACCTAAAAATATAAATGAGAACACAATATATAGACTTTGATTACACTTTAATCATAAATTTCATAATCCATAAGTTATATAAGTCTAATTTATTTTCATTTCCCTATGACATTCTGTCAGCTTAAGATTTACATGACAGAGTGCTGGAAATGGAAAGGTTTTTACAATTAAAAAGAAAAAACTTTTGTGAACAATTGACAATTTTTTAGAAACAATACAATTTTACATGAATTTGAAGAAAGAAATACAAAATAAAAAGCAAAAACATGTACACCACTGGTCAGGGGTCAGCTTTACTAATTTTTTTACGTTTTTTTTTTTTTAAGAAAATGATTCTGTTTCATCAAGGCGGCATTATTACAATTTTAAACAACTGTTTTCTTTATTGATTTTTTTACTATTACCATTAATAATAATAATAATAATAATAATAATAATAATAATAATTACTGTTAGAGTGCTATCTGAAGGATCTTTTGACTCTCAAGACTGGAGTAATGAAGCTGAAAATTTATCATTAAAATCACTGGAACAAATTATTAAAATAAATTATAAACTACTTTTGAACAGTTGTATTGTAGTGCAATAACATTTCACAGTTTTACAATGTGTACTGTATTTTTGATGAAATTAATGCAGCCTTTGTGAGCAGGATAAGCTTATTTCAAAAGGTTTAAAAATACTGACCTCAAACGTTTGACCGGTAGTGTATATTACCAATAGTTGTTACACTGTAAAACCCCAAAAGTTAAAGTAACTCAAACGATTTAAGTTCAAAAATTGATCCTATTGAGTACTGTGAACTTAATCGATTTGAGTAAATGAAACAATTTGAGCACAGTAAAACCCAATAAATGAAGAGAACTCAAACCCACTACTGTAACACAGTAAGTAAAAGCAACTCAAAGCGTTTGAGAAAATCACCACAAAATGAAACTTTACTTACTATTTACTCACTCTCAAGTCCTTCAAAACCTTTTCTCTATTCTGTTTGGGAAATTGGAAAACTCAGCAATGAAGATACATTTTTTATCCAAAGGGTTTGTCCATATTTGACCCATCCAGTGGTGGAAAAAACACTGAAAAATCATACTCAAGTAAAAATAGCATTACTTGCCTAAAAATGTAGTGCAAGTAAAAGTACTGTATCTGTTGTAAATATTACTCAAAGCATGAGTAAAAAGTAGCACTTTTAAAAGTACTTAAGAGTAGTGAGTAGTATTACGCTGTGAACGGCTGATGATGTGTGTGTGTAAACGTAACATTCTGTAGTGCATGTATACAGAAAACATCCGCCATCTTCTCTTCAGTGACATTCGGTCTAAACAGTCTTTGCGTCATTGCGTGTAGAGATTTTGGACATCTCAGACACGTGTAATGCTTCCAAACAGTTAGCTGCATGTCTTAAGGTATTTCAGTATAATGTGATTTACATTATGTGCGATTTGATTGGACAGGAAATCGCAGGACTGATCTTTCTAATCCCCAGAGACAGGAAAAAATAAAGTTGCGACTGAAGGTTGAAGGAAAGTAGTGGAGTAAAAGTACCAATACAGCTCTAAAATGTACTCAAGGGAAAGTAAAAAAGAACTTTTTAACACTACTTAGTAAATTACAATTGCTGAGAAAAACAATTACAGTAATTTGAGTATCTGTAGTTTGCTGCTACCTTACAACACTGCCCAAGTCTGAGGTTAAAATGTCACATTTCAAACTGTTACTTGAGGGATAAACATTACAGTATAAACACTATCAAGCAGCATTTAAAATGAGCGAATGTTCAGGTGCTTAATGTCTCATTTCCTCAGGCTATGTTTGGGGTAAAATTAAAGGATCAATGAGAATTGTGTTTCCCTTTGAGCAACACACCTGCACTGGTGTTATCACGGCACACACACACACACACACACACACACACACACACACATAGAGATAGAGAGGGGTGTGACACGTTCTTTTATGTGCAATTATCACAAATGACGGGAAAAGATGAGTTTGGTTTGGGGAATCTCTCTCTCACACTCACACACATGGCCGAAGACTCAGTGAAATGCGTAATGCAGAGTCCAGTCGCTCTTCGGCCGCTAAATGGATGACCACACATCAGCAACAAAGACCGCATTGTGCGCCTGCGAGTGTGTGTGTGTGTGTGTCATCACGTGTCGCTCTGAATCAGCTTGAGTGGATGTGTGTGTGACTGTTTATGCATCTGTGCGACTGTAAAGTAGTTTTATTTGTTTTACTTTTAAAGCCGAAACCTCTCATCTCGTGCCATCGAGCACGCCTGGATCTTTCTGCCATATGTTGAGCAGAGTGCGAGTCTCCCCTGTCAATCACGCATTAAATCACGCGTCTGTCATCAGTTCATCAGCAGAAGCCTATTTAGAGAGTCTTTATCGCTCCCTCTGTTCTCATTCGGTCAGCAGTTGCTCTTCGTCACTGTCTTCACCCCCGTTTTCCTCTCCTATCCTCGTCCGTCACACATACACGCTTTCTCTCTTTAAGCCTCGATCACCTGCAGCACATAAAAATTCCTTTTTTCTCTCTCCAGAGGACTGTGCAGCTGCCTATGGGGAGTTTCTGCATTCCTGTTTCTCTTTCTGTCTGACTCTCTCTCTCTTTCTCTGTGCCTCCTCAAATCTGCTGTTTTTTTTTCTTTCCTTTTTTCGTTTTCTCCTGCCGCTTTGTCTTTGCCTCTCACCTGTGGCCCAGCCCTTCCTGTTACCTCACGGCTCCCACCTGCCGCGCCCGCGCCCCCGCCGTGCTGCAGGGCTGGGCTGAAACTCTCCGAAACCGCTCGGTGCGGGGGAAACCTGGGGCACAGGTTGACTGATTTATTGCCTAATCAATTGATCCTCCCAGATAAGAGTCGGTAACCACAGTCACAGTGCATTTTATGTACATGAGTGTTGACTTAGCCCTGGAGGAAAAACAGACTTTAATGTACCGTGGCGTGTTTTAGTGTTATTCAACATGCTTTCAGAAAAGATTATGGATGATTGTTTTGGACTGCCTACAGAGAATTTGGTGTGTGTGTGTGTGTGTGAACGTGGGTGAGTGAGTCAACTAGCAGTGTGCTTAAAGTTGCACCAAAGTGAGCTATACTTGCTACCTGCCACCTACATAAGCAGCATCTTAACTCAAGTGACATACAGGTGACTGGTTTCTGAAATGAACTACAGGGGTTGGACAATGAAATTGAAACACTGGCCAATTTAGTGTTGGGGGTTTGATGGCTAAATTTGACCAGCCTGATGGCCAATCTTTATTGATTGCACACTTCACCAGTAAAGCTGCGGTCACACTAGAGTTTGATAACACGAAATTCTGTCGTGCGGCGCTGCGAAAAGGGGTGGGAATAAACAAGCTTATTAGACATTTTCAAAAGTGAGCGATAGCTCCATGTTTCAAATTTCTGTCTAGAGAGGTCATGTTTTGATCCTCGGTTGGTCTCACGCAGTCAAGTGATGCATGACCCTGCGTTTCCGGTCTGACGCATTCGCATGCATATGAATGGAAGTCTATAAGAGGAATGCACACAACATTATAAGGGGCATATCAAAAGTGGACAAATTATTGGTACGCATCTCACTGGTGCATCTGTGACCAGAAAAGCAAGTATTTGTGATGTATCAAGAGCCATAGTATGCATGGTAATGTCAGAATACCACCAAGAAAGACAAACCACAGTAAATATGAGTAACTTTAGATACAAGAGGACCTGTCTGAAAGGGATGTCCCGGTACTAACCCAGATTGTATCTAAAAAAATTAAACCCACATCTGCCCAAGTCACTGCAGAATTAAATGTGCACCTCTCAACTCTCCCGTTTCCACAAAAAATGTCTTTCCCACATCTGGGAAAGTTACGATGTGGAGAAGCCCCAAAAAATGTACTACCCAGACTGTTGCGTGTTCATAGTGAAGCATGGAAGGTGGATCTGCGATGGTTTGGGCTTCATTATCATGGCATTGCCTATACCCAATAGTTGTGCTATAGATGGGTGCATCACTGCCAAAAACACTCAAATCCCCTCAGTAAGATTATGTACACCCAATGATTCAAACATTATTTCCTGAAGGCAGTGCCTTGTATCAGGACGATAATACACCAATTCACACAGCAAGACGGTGACAGAGTGGTTTGATGATGATGTAAGCACAGGTAGAACTACCTGCAAGGCATTTCTGCCTGACACACCTCTGCTGGTGCTATTTAGGCTGGCTGCAGGGTCATCAGCCGGTAGCCACCCATCGTTGATGTTTCGCCCCTTTAATCCCGGAACATCTCCGGGTGGTGGAGTAACGGTAGGGACGTCTCCCTACCGCCCCTCTGCAGCCAACCCTAGGATCCTTCTCTCCTCCATGACTTGTCCTTCCTCTGAAGCCATGGCCAGAAGCTCCCTTTCTCTACCTCCTTTGCCAGC